CAGGCAGGTGGGATGTGGGCTTTAGATACGAGATTCCAAGTAGGCCTTTGCGACCGACCGTTTTATAGATGGGAACACCAAGACTCCAAGGTGTCAGGTGACTTGCCCCTGGTTCCTGGGCTGCTATCAATCTTCCCTGGAGCCATAGAACAGAGACACTACATGAGAAGCCCGGGGCCCTTTCTGAGATGGGGAAGCCTGCTGCTGGGTCGCAAAGGGAGACTTGCTCCCTCCCAGGATCAGGCCTGACCTTCTGGCCCAGAGGTGGCCTGAGTCCTGGGAAATAGGGCAGCCCTCGGCTTCTGTGTCACCGTGGATTCCCCTCCCCCTCCCGGCCTTTGTTTCTTGTCCTCCACAGCCTCGTTCTCTTTCCCTCCCCCATCTCACTCCTCTTCTGCCCCCTTCTCTCCTCACTGCCTTTTTCTCCCCTCCCCCTCCCTCCCCTCTTTTTTCCCCTTAGCCCACTCCCTGCGTTACTGCACGCTGGCAGCCACTCTTTACCGGTGCCTTTAACATTTACTTTCTTCACACCCTGGGGAGAGAGAAGGCAGGCTGGGAAGTGGGAGGAGTTTAGCAGAGGTACCTGCACTAATGGATGTGTCCCGGCTATGCGCCGCCACCCCCCCACCCCGTCATTAGCCACACAGTTTGGAAGAACACAGGGCCCTCCAAGCTCTCTTCCCTTGGACGTTGTCAGGAGCTTTGGTTGAGTCCCCAGCACGAGTGATAAAAGAAAGCTTTGCCTTGAGAAGGGAGGAGCCATGGGGGGCCCTGGGGGCCTGCAGCATCCCTCTGCCACAAGTGGTGTAGGTTCTTCTGCCTGGAGCAGTTTAGGTCAAGGCATCAAATAGAAGGGCTGTCACCTGTGAGAAGGAGCCAGGGGACTTGGGGACAGCTAAGCCAAAAGACTGGTCTAAGTGGATGAAAAGGATGCTGGGCTGGAGGCTACCTCCCCTCCACTTATCTCGGCCCATAAGACCCACAGGCAGAGCGGCAAGCCACTTAGCATCTCTTTCTCTCCACCTCTACCTCAATAGAGCGCCTTCTGCACACTCATGCATGTCCATGGCCGTACCAGGAGACCAGACCACAGGAACATAGAGCCGAGCCCTTGCCGCTAGGTTTCGGGCCTCTGCTGGCCCTGGGCAGCTCCTGCACTCAGTTATGATGTGACCTCCAGATTTGGCACCCTTGGAATTAGAATCCCCTGGGTGCTAGAGATGCCTGGTGCTGCCACCCAGCCCTGCTCTGCTCCTAAGAACGCCTGTCACTGTGGCTTAGGCACCGTTCCCTGGCCCATGGAGTCGGGTTGCTGTAGGGTTAAATGGGGCCTGGAGCCCTCAGGAATGCTACGGTGTAGAGCGTCTCCTGCCTGGAGAGACTGACAATTTTAAAGCCCCTAACCTTGGCCCTTGAAGAGCACCGACTCTGGGCAAGCCCCCTTTGATAGCCAGAACGGGCTCTGGCTGTTTCTGGAGGCGGAAGAAGAGGCCATGTGACCTGGGACAGGCTTAGTTTACACCTTGTATGTTGACATTAAGATGTCTCCTTGTTGGAGGGGACCCCAGTTTGGATGGTTAATTGGATGATTTCTCTCACAATAAGGAACCACACGCCCCTGCTTCCTCGGGCACGGTTGGCCTGTAGTCAGTGGTCACTCTTTTGTCTACATGGGAAGTAGGCTCTGTGCACCAATCTCTGGAGGTCGCAGGAGTGTGGGTGACAACTGGGCTTCTGAGGAAAGCCACACTATCTCATCTTGTGTCTGTTTCAAGTCAGAAACCCTCCGTAGGAGTGAGATGAAGGAACTGAAATTTGGGACACGTAGGGTGTAGCAGACCCAGGACTCAGTACTCAGCCCAGGTTCTTCTTGGTCGTCGTTACTCTTAACCTGCTCAGAACTCAGTCTGTAGCTGAGGATGATTTTGAACGGCCAACCCTAGCTTACCTTCCGAGTGCTGGCATTTTCCAGGCCTCTGCCGGCACACCCACCTAGCTTCCAGTGCCGGGTTCCAAGGACAGCTTTGCTATAGATGACCAGTCCCTCCTCCCCAAGGGTTCTACCTCAGGGAAAGTCTAGAAAGTTTGCTGAGTGCATTCTTTTTTTTAAATTTTTTTATTTTATTTTTTAATATTTATTTTATTATTTTTAGTATTTATTTATTATGTATATAATATTCTGTCTGCATGTATGCCTACAGGCCAGAAGGGGGCACCAGACCTCATTACAGATGGTTGTGAGCCACCATGTGGTTGCTGGGAATTGAACTCAGGACCTTTGGAAGAGCAGGTAATGCTCTTAACCGCTGAGCCATCTCCCTAACAGGTGCCCTTGCAGTCACCAAAGCTGTGTTGAATTTGGGGCCCAAGGATGGAAAGTTTTTTTCAACCCTGTGACCATCTCCTTTCTGGGGATCGAGGACAGTAAAGCTATTGCTCATCGTTCTTCCTTAGGGCTTTGTAATTAACTAAGACCCGGGCCCTGCAGTATGCTCTTCGGGAATCCTGCGCCTTTCTTGTGTGTTCTCATTCTCAGTGTTTAGATGGGGAAACTGAGGCACAGAAGTGACCTTCTGTAATCCATTAGAAGTGACTGAAGTGGGAAATCCCTAGTCAAGCACAGCTGGGCATGGAGTCGAGGGTGTCCAGAGGTGAGCCTAGCCCCGTGGAGAGCTCTACACGGGCTCTGAACAAGAGTCCAGGTGACCCCTTCCACCAAAGCCCTGCTGTGAGCTTTAATGGTCCAAGCTTTCGTGTCTGTTGCAAGGAGGCCGGATTCCTGTCTGGGGTATTTTTAGCAGCCTCAGGAAGAGGAAGCTCCATTGAGTGCTGGGGGGGTGGGGGGGGGCAGGGCAGCACCAGGCCTGGACTGATTTCCTGAGGAAGGACTGTCCACCGGCTCTGTGCCTGGCCCTGTCGCCCCTCTGGTGTCACCCCTCTTCTGGAGTGTGTCAGGAACCGAGCCAGGGCAAGACCACACGAGCATCTGAAGCCCAGGAGGAGGCACCCATAGCACAAACCTGGAGGTGCCAGCATGGGCCTGAGAGCCAGCAGATGGGGCCAGGAGACTGGTGGTGGAGCATGCAAGCTGTGCTGGGAAGGGGCACCAGAGCAGGGGTCACTTTGCGCAAAGGTGGGGTCCATGGTACTGGTGGAACCAGGGGAAGGAGGACGCCTTTACTGGTTTTCCAGCTGGGCAGGGGTACAGTGGTGTTGTTCATGAGAATCTGTTAGATTGCAGACCGTGATATGAACCTGGGATCCAGTTTTAACAGTCAAGTCAGACAGTGGCCTCACAAGCATTCGCCATCGGATCTGACGCACAACTCCTGTGCCAGCTAAAGCTATCTTTATATCAGTGTGTTTGGATATCTATGCGTATGGCATTTAGTTAATTAAGAAAAAACAGTGGCTCCTATGATAGACTGTTTAGCATTAGGACTGACCAGCAGTAGCCCATGTTTGGATGGAACTTAATCTATTTTTGTCTGTTGTATTGTTTTTAGTGTGTGTGTGTGTGTGTGTGTGTGTGTGTGTGTATGTGTGTGTGTGTTCCTCGTTCGTGCAGTCATACCATCGCTAATGGCAACAATTGTTTAACACCTCAGTACATCCCAGGGTCTGTGCAGAATTAATTACCCCAGCAGCAGCACAGCCATAGGACTCTTGATGTGTTTTAGTATGTGGCACATTATATTTTGAGTAGGTGGGTTTTTTTTTTTAAATCAGTTCTTAAAATAATAGAGTAATTAATTTTTAAAGCAGAAGGGCTGGGGCTCTGGCTCAGTAGAAGAGTGCTTGCCTAGCATACCCAAAGCCCCGGGTCCAATCCCCAGCTCTGCAAGAAAGAAAATTAAAAAGCTGTTCAACTTCATTCATAAATCACCAGGCTTGGAGACACGTCTCTAATTTCAGCCCTCAGGAGGCTCGGGCTCTCAGATAGCAGATTCCAGGCTAGCCTCAGCTACACACTGAGATCTCAGATATAGCAGATTCCAGGCTAGCCTCAGCTACACACCGAGATCCTGTCCCAGAGGAAGTAGAGTTATAGTTGTGCATTTTGGAACAGATTTCTGAGGGCCCCATGAAGAACCTATAAGACACAGCTTAAAGAACTGTTGAACATGGGCGGGGAATGGCTCTGTGGTCAAAGTGCTGCACAAACCCCAGCTCCCAATTAAAAACTCCAGGTGTGCCCAGGACTCGGGAGGGAGAGGCCGTCAGATCTCTGAGTTCGGGGCCAGCCTGGTCTACAGAGTGAGTTCCAGGACAGGCTCCAAAGATACACAGAGAAACCCTGTCTCAAGGGTTGGGGTGGGGGTTCCAAGAATCTAAGTGTGGCAGCACATACCTGTAACCCCCGAGCCGGAAGGCAGAGTAGGGGAATCCCTTGGGTTTGCTGGCCAGGTAGACCCATTAATTGATAAGCCCCAGGTTCAATTAGAGACCCTATGTAAAAAAAAAAAAAAAAAAAAAAAACCTAGCATCATTGGGCTTTATGCAGGCGCACACATGACACATGCACCCATACCACACACGTGGACGCACATGCCCACACCACACAGAAGGGGGGGTGTGATGAAACGCTGAGCGGCCGAGTGTGGAGCACTCATTTGTCGTCCTCGTAGTTGGGAGGCTGAGGCAAGAGGGTAATGAGTTTGAGGCCAACTCCAACTACATAGTGAGACACCCGTCTCAGAGGAAAAGAATCACAGATGCAGCCCAACCCTCCTCCCTGTTTTACAGATGGAAAGACTCAGGAGGTGGGGCTTACCCAAGCCCTCTAGAGAGAGGAGGGGATGGCTAGACAAACAGAGGTTGTCATTGCTCCCCGTAATTACACGCATATCCCATTCTCAAGGCAGGGGTCACATGACATCAGAGCCACACACACCCCAAATTAGCTGGGCCCTTGTCCTCGCTGAGTCTGTTACCCCCCCCCCCCCCCCGCGCCCCCAGCATGGAACTCGCAATATTAACATGCTCTTTTCCTCCCACAGAAATGCCCTCCTAGCCAGCCGCCACAGGATGGAGGGCTTCATGGACTCAGGGACACAGACGGACGCCGTGGTGGTGCTGTCCTTGGCTCAGGCTGCCGTGCTGGGCCTGGTCTCAGAAAATGAGCTCTTTGGAGCCACCATAAGTGCTGAGGCCTTCTATCCAGACCTAGGGCCAGAACTGTCTGGGACAGCTGTGGGGGAGCCAGGACCGCCAGGACCCGACATCTATCAGCTGGCCTGTAATGGGCGTGCCCTGGAAGAGCCCCCAGAAGAGGAGGTGCTGGAGGTAGAGGCAGCCTTTGAGAAGCACACCCGGAGGAAGACGCGGCCTCCCGTGCGGCTGGTACCCAAGGTCAAGTTTGAGAAAGCGGAAGAGGAAGAGGAACAGGAAGTGTATGAGGTATCTGTGCCTGGTGATGACAAGGACCCGAGCCCTGCAGAGGCTCCTGCCGAGGTGGCTGGTGGTGGCTGCGAGGCCCTGGTGCAGAGCAGTGCCGTCAAGATGATCGACCTCAGCGCCTTCAGCCGCAAGCCCCGGACGCTCCGGCACTCACACTTGCCTCGAACTCCAAGGCCAGAGTTGGACATGGCCCCCTTCGATCCTCCTTTCCCCAACCCAACCCGGGACGGCTTCCCCGAGCCCAGCATGGCACTACCTGGACCAGAGACTTTGCCCACCGAATGTGGTTTTGAGCCGCCCCACCTGGCCCCCCTGAGCAATCCTGAGCCTCCCACCATGACATCGCCAGAACTCGTCAAACCAGAGCAGGGCTTTGTGTGGCAGGAGTCCAGTGAGTTCGAGGCCGACCCGGCAGGCTCCACGGTGGAGCGGCACAAGAAGGCACAGCTGGACCGGCTGGACATCAATGTACAGATTGATGATTCCTACCTGGTGGAAGCGGGTGACCGCCAGAAACGCTGGCAGTGCCGCATGTGCGAGAAGTCCTACACGTCCAAGTACAATCTGGTGACGCACATCCTGGGCCACAATGGCATCAAGCCACACTCATGTCCACACTGCAGCAAGCTCTTCAAGCAACCCAGCCACCTGCAGACGCACCTGCTGACACACCAGGGCACACGGCCCCACAAGTGCCAGGTGTGCCACAAGGCTTTCACTCAGACCAGCCACCTCAAACGTCACATGCTGCTGCACTCTGAGGTCAAGCCCTACAGCTGCCACTTCTGCGGCCGCGGCTTCGCCTACCCCAGCGAGCTTAAGGCCCACGAGGTGAAGCACGAGAGTGGCCGCTGCCACGTCTGTGTCGAGTGCGGCCTAGACTTCTCCACCCTGACCCAACTCAAGCGCCACCTGGCCTCCCACCAGGGCCCTACCCTCTATCAGTGCCTCGAGTGTGACAAGTCCTTCCACTACCGCAGCCAGCTACAAAACCACATGCTCAAGCACCAGAACGTGCGGCCCTTCGTGTGCACGGAATGCGGCATGGAGTTCAGCCAGATCCATCACCTCAAGCAGCATTCCCTCACCCACAAGGTAAGGCCACCAGCCTCGGCTGCTCCACCTGCCCCTCCCTCTCCAGCACACCGAGGTTCCGGATGAGATTTCCACAGGTAAACTTTTTTAAAGGTGTACTTACATTTATTTTACCTGTCGAGTGTTTGACCTACATGTATGTCTTTGAACCACAGCGTATGCCTGATGCACATGGAGGCCGGAAGAGGGCCTCAAATCTCCTGGGCCTGGAGTTATTATTACAGGTGGTAGTGAGCTGCCTGCCATAGGGTGCTGGGAATCTAACCTGGGTGCTCCTTAACCACCGAGCCATCTCTCTAGCCCAGACTTTACTTAATTTCATACTTAGAGATTTATCTTAGTAGAGTATTAGAAACATAATTAAAATGAGTTTTTGAGAAAAACTAATCTTTAAGATGTTTTTGGGACCTGGGGAGTTGGTTCGGTGGGTAAAGTGCTTGCTAGCCCCTGTCGATCCTCCTTTTGCTGTGTTCAGGTTCCTAGCACTCCCATAAGCTAGCTATGGCAGTGTGCATCACCCCACCAGTGAAGAGAGAAGATGGGTGGGTGCCCTCGGCTCACTAGCCAGCGGGCATAGCAAAAAACGGAGTTCACTGAGGTCAAAGAATCAGGCAGAGAAGCAATTGGAGGAAGATACCTGCCCTTGCACCTGGGCAATTGCACGTATACACAGGCGTACACACACACACACACACACACACACACCACAGAGAGAAGAGGAGTGTAAAAGATTTTGGTGTGAAGTGCTTGTGGACCTCCCGCAGGGCTCAAGGGTCCCTCCCTGTTTCCCAGATGGGGAACTGAGTACAGGCGGGTGGATGCCAGGACCAGAAATGCAGAGGATAGCTTGGCGTTCTTGATATCACAACAAAACCTTCAGCTTCCCTTTAGGAAAAGGCAAAATATATATGATTTCCAGTTCTTCCTGGTGCCAGGCCACTGGTTTTCTTCCCCCTGCTTTTCAGCCATCACCATGGCCCCCAGAATGGCCTTACACCCTGGAAGGTAGAGTGGACTCTCTTAGGCCTAACCGTCCCGTGCTGGCACTTGGCTGACCCACGGTTTCCTTCAAACTCCAGCCAACTTAACCTTTCAAAGCTGTGAGTAGCCCTTCCTCTGTACGGTAACCTGTGGTGGCAGATGTGGATATTACTCAGCCTGCAGGCCAGGAGCCTGAACTTCTGCAGCCCCCAGAACTTTTCTGCTAGAGCAGGGAGCATTGGCAGGTTCCACTGCAGAGGCTTGACCTGTCTGTTGTAGTAGTGGCTGCTAATATAATATTATTATAATGTTAAGGGTTCTGACACTGAGTCCGGGCTCATCAGTAAGACTCTAATTGATTATTAATGTCTGCGAGGGTGGGTGTGAAGGATGATGTGTGCACCGTGTATCTGCCATCTTTCTCTGCTCAGAGACTTCAACCCTTACCTACTGATGTGCCGAGAGATAAAGGGTTGTGACGAAAGCTGAGACAATCTGTGTCAGTGTCTTAATTTGCCCACCTCTCCACCCTCCCTCCACACGTCTGTGCTTGTAACTCTTGAATGGGGCCCCCTGGTGGTCGTGGTCTGCCACTGTCACAGAATAACAAGGACGTACCTCTCGAGCAAGAGCCCCTGCCTTTGCTAAAGTATCATAAATACCCCGGGTTCGGTCACCAGCACAGATGCCCCAAAACACATAATACCAAAGTTTTATGTTAGATAATTGGGACAGCAACTGTGACCGCAGACATGCCTCTGTCTCAGTGAAGTTCTCTTCCTGCTCTCCCAGCATCCCCTGTGCACACAGCCCTGTGCTGAGTGTCAGCTCCAGGCCATAAAGAGGCCTGCGACAGCCCAGCCCAGACAGTTTGCTCTGGAGCCAGTGTCTCCATGATAAGAATCATGGGGGCGGGGCTAGTGCAACTAGAAACTTAACTCCTGGGCCATCCCAGACCCCACTGAATGAGCCTCTCTAGGGTGGGGCTTCAGGCTGTCTGCTGGAGAGCAGCTCTGGGTGACTCTCATCTCCAGGGAGAGCTGGGAAGACACACCTTCAAGGGTGCTGTGGGAGAGCAGGGAGCTTTCGCTACTCAAGAGTTTTATGCAGCGCTCAGTGTTAGCCATTTTTCCTTGGGATGCACAAAGGTTTTTTTTTTTTTTTCTTTCTCTCCCAAGTGTTGGTAACCCAGGATTAATCTTTGGTAGATGAGTGCGCTACTACTGAGGATATACTTCCAGCTTCCCCTGCCTACACACACACACACACACACACACACACACACACACAGCAGAGTCTCACTATGTATCCCTGGCTGGTCTCAAACTTAGAGATCTGTCTGCTTCTATGCCCTTTTATATATTTACTTTTATATATTTTCATACTTACTTTTATTTATTTTTATATATAATGTAGATATAATATAGCTATATAAAATATAAATCGATAAAACATTTCTATTTTAATAAATACTTTTATATATTTTTTATGTTTACTTATATATTGACTTTTCCATATAGAGGTGTTTTGCTTGCGTGTATATATTGTATGTGTGTATCCCACATTACATGGAAGCCAGAAAGGGTGACAGAACTGGAACTGGAGTGGCAGAAGGTTGTGAGCCTCCACATGGGTTCTGGGAACAGAGCTCAGGGCCTCTGGAAGAGCAGCAAGTGCTCTAACCACTGAGCCACCTCTCCAGCCCGCCACGCCCCCTGGCTCTTACTGATAAATTGTCTCTGTGGGCTTTTCTCCCTGCTGTGTCAATCTCCCCTGAGTATCTGGGGGTTAGCAGGCCTGTGCCTCCATGACTGGCAGCTTTTTCTTGTTCGCTTCTCCCTACTCCTGCCAACTTTTTGTTATTTTATAGACAGGTTCTCACTGCATAGTCCTGACTTGCCTCAATCAGACCTAGGACACCTTGCACATGCTAGGAAGACTCTCCTCCACTGAGCGCTGTCCCCAGCAATACAGCTTTAACCATGTTTCCAAGGGATTGTCCCCCGAGAGATGTAACTGAAAACAAACAAGCACATCCTTTCTTTTTTCTTTTTTTCTTTTTCTTTTCCTGAGACAGGGTTTCTCTGTAGCTTTGGAGCCTGTCCTGGACCTAGCTCCTGTAGACCAGGCTGGCCTCGAACTCACAGAGATCCACCTGCCTCTGCCTCCCGAGTGCTGGATTAAAGGCCTGCGCCACCACCGCCTGGCTGCACATCCTTGTTGTAATAATGAAAGTTGTCCAGACAAAGGCATTGCCCTGCTGACCGCAGGCCTGTGGTGCTGGCTTCTAGCAGGTACACTTGCCTGTTTGCTGGACGAATGAACTGAGAGGTGAACAGACGGACGGATGGATGGGTGGATGGGTAGGTAGACCCCTTATATCTCTGCACACTGGTACAGCCGACCTGCTTACACACCTACCTGGCAGGCAGGGATGGGAAGGCACACTGTTTGTGTCTGCCTTGTCCTGGAAGGCATCCTGGAACAGCAGCCCTGCCCTACCCCAGAGCTGGCTAGCAGAATAGCTCAGCAGGTAGAGGTGCTTGCCCCCAGCTTGATAACAGCACCTGCTGCTCAGAACCCAGTTGGTGGAAGGAGAGACCCAAGTTCTGAAAGTGGTACACACACACACACATACACCCACCCACATACATACATACACACACAGAGACAGACAGGCACATATATACACACACATGCTTTTTTTGTAAAAAGAAATTCCCCAGCCGCCACACCTGTTAGTGCCCCAACCCTGAGCGGTGCCTCTGCCTCCCCAGGGCGTGAAGGAGTTCAAGTGTGAGGTGTGTGGCCGAGAGTTCACCCTGCAGGCCAACATGAAGCGGCACATGCTGATCCACACCAGCGTCCGGCCCTACCAGTGCCACATCTGCTTCAAGACCTTTGTGCAGAAGCAGACGCTCAAGACCCACATGATTGTGCACTCGCCCGTGAAGCCATTCAAGTGCAAGGTACGGGACCTGTCCCCACGGCTAGCGTTTGCCCACCCGGGTTTGGAGGGGCTGAGGAGGGCAGGTGGGGATCAGAGACTCGAGAGGGCGTGAAGGTGGCAGTGACGTGAGCTGCAGTTCCCACCTCCAGCGCAGGGCAGGCAGGAGATGCAAGGAGCAGCGGTCCTTTGCCTCCCTCCGGTCACACAGGGAAGGACAGCGTGCTGTGTGTGTGTGTCAGGAAGCGGGAGGAGATTGGCCAGGATGGCAGGCTCCCCACAACCCTCTGCTGCCTTCCCCGTTCCAGGTGTGTGGGAAGTCCTTCAACCGCATGTACAACCTGCTGGGCCATATGCACCTGCACGCAGGCAGCAAGCCATTCAAGTGCCCCTACTGCTCCAGCAAATTCAACCTCAAGGGAAACCTGAGCCGGCACATGAAGGTCAAGCATGGCGTCATGGACATCAGCCTGGACAGCCAAGGTGGGTGGGCTGTGCGCAGTGGACAGAACAGGGGTGACAGCGGCATGGCGCACTCAGTAGGGAGGCTGGCCAAGGCCGAGACCTCACTGAGGTGGGCTCAGGTCTGGAGAGAGGGAGAGCCTGGGGAGCCGTCGTGGCAATAATGGGGTATTTATGTCGTCTTCCAAGGACTTCCATGGGCTCACTAAAACAATAATAAAAACCATAACTTACACATGTTGAGTGCTGTGTAACTCATGTGACCCTCAGAGGGAGGCTGGCTCTGCCATCACTCCTCCTCTAGCAGAAACTGCAGGGCCGAGAGCAGGCAACCCAGTCACAGCCCACAAGAGCCGTAGATGAGCCATCTCTCCCATCGTTAGCACGAGATACTCTGATGATTTCAAATGAACAGATGGGGAAGGGACAAAGGGGGAAACTGTGAGGTCACACCTCCCAGTGCACATGGCATTCAGAGAGGTCAGGACAATCAACCAGCCTCGGTGCCTGCTGGAAAGAACGAGAGCCACATATTCAGGAGAGGGACAGGTAGCCCTGCCGTTAACCTTTACGAGAGGAAAACCTAAAAGAAATAAGTAATGTAAGAAAAAGAATTAAAATAGAAGCCAAGGTCTAAGAGGGCTGGGTGTGGTGTGGTGCACACTTGCAATTCTAGCACTCAGGAAACTGAGGCAGGAAGACTGTCATTCAAGGCCAGCATGGGGCTACACAGTGAGCCCCTGCATCACATAATAACAGTAATAAATGAAAGACTTTCCAGAGAGGCTAGGTGCAGTTGCACATACCTGTAGTGTAAGCACTTGGGATACTGACTGAGGCAGGAGGATTACCATAAGTTTGAGGTCAAGCCAGGCCACATAATATAAGACCTTGTCTCTCAAAAAGAAACTGAAAACAAAAAGGCAAATCAATTTCCAGAGAATCCTGTATCTTGGCAACAGGTAGAGATCTCAAGTTGTTATGAGACACCCCCACTTCTGTCTAGTCACAGCAGAGCTGACCATTGGTCTCCAGCTCCATTGTGGGGAGGTGGCAGCTGATGGTGCATCCCAGAGGCTCCTCCCGAGGAGGTCTCTCCAGGCAGTGTCTTGGCAGCAGCCAGAGGAGTTGACTAGTCATTCCCAATTATTCATTACAAATGACTGGTGACTGATTTTGGAACATCTGGCCAGTAAATGGCCTAGAGTTTCTGGCAAAGCAGGTGACATTGTAGCTTGTTGAAGCTAATCTTCCGGTAGTTTCACCAAGGCTGTGTTGGTCGTTAAGAAGGAACCCTACAGCCTGCATGGGATGCTCTCTGTAGTCCGTGATACACATGGCTTCACTCCACCCTGGACTCTTCATTACCAAAGGCTCTCTGTTCCTTGCTTAATGTACCTCCCCAGAATCTCCCCAAGACTGGCTTAAACGGCTGGGCTTCCAGCAGTTTCTGGGATGCATTTCCAATAGACTCCCTTTGAATGTCTTTGATATAGCCCTTACAGGATGATGTCTCATTGGCTGCCCACGGGAGTGACTTGAGAATTTCCTTTAACATTTAATTTTATGTGTCTGGGTGTTCTGATTCCATGTGTGTCTGTGTACCATGTGCTTGCCTAGTGGAGTCCAGGAGAGGCCGTCAGATCTGATGGGAACGGAGTTGCAGTTGTGAGCCACCACGTGGGTGCTGGCAGTCAAACTTGAGGCCTCTGGGAGAATAGTGTGCTAAACATTGAGCCATCTCTCCAGCACATTTGAAGATGGCTGAGTCTGGACTCCAGAGGTGTCCGGCGGGGGTCTGGACTTTGAAGTACTTTGGATTGTTCCCTGTGTATCATTTTGAGAGCTCTACTACAGTGAACTTCCCTTGTAGCTACTCCCCAGCAGAGACCAAGTCAACCTTGCCCTTTTGCAAATGACCAGAACTATCAAATCTGGTTCTCAGGGACAAGAGGAACAGTCCCTTTCCTCACTTCCAGGATGCTTAGCATTGGTCCCTCCCTGACTGTACCAGAGGAGTGAAGTGGCCATGGGTCCTGGCCGTCGGCTGCATACCCACATAGCTCTGCTGTGAAGCTGGACTAGGTAGCTTCTTTCCAAGTAAAACGCCTCACAGACTTAGTTGTAATTTAGGGAGGTGGGCCAGTGCGCATGCCCTGATGAGGCTGGCGTACACCAATAATCCCAGCACAGGGACACAGGAATTCAGCGCAATCCTCAACTATATACTGAGTTCAAGACCGGCTGGACATAATGGAGATAAAGCAGGGTCATGGACACTTGGCTTGTTTAATAGTCAGTGGCAGAATATGATGATATGGTTGTAGGCTTCGAAGGGAAACCACCGACGCTCGGCTTGCTGGGGCACTTAACCTCGTTTACAAGGTCAGGAGGGTTCTGTGTGTTCCACGCAGCAGCTCCACAGTTTGAAGGCGTTGGAGGTAGCTCAGCTGGTAGAGAGCACTCGCTTAGCAGGCACAAGGCCCTGGGTTTGATCCCAGCAATCCATAGGCCAGGTGCACCACTCTGATCCAGCATTCTGGAGGACCAAAAGTTCAAGATCATCTTTGATTATATAATGAATCTGAGGACAGTCTGTCTGGGCTTCGTGAGATTTAGTCAAAATAAAGAAAGCAAGCCGTACATGGTGGAGATCATCTTTAATCCCAAGCATCAGGGAGGCAGAGGTAGGCAGTCATTTGAATTCAAGGCCAGCCTGGTCATATAGTACATTCCAGGATAGCCAGGGTTTGTATAAAGGGGCAGAGAGGAGGATTGAAAGCTCAGGACATGGTTAAAGGTGGGTAGATCAGACCCTTGACAATGACATCAGGGTTCGGCTACCTCTGTGAGACCCCACAGCCCCAACATTTTCTCCTGGACTCAAGATGACCCCCAGTAGCCGCCAGAACACTGAGCTTCCTGGCACATCCAGGAAAAGCGGTCTCCCTTTCCTAAAGCCAATAACTTGCCCATCGACCATTTCCTTCTGACCCAGTGGTCAGATTTAGGTTACATGCCAGTTCCGAGCCACTCATTGGCAGATGCGGGGTGAATTTGACTCCCCCAGGTGATATTTGGATGTCCTAACTGGGAAAATGCTCCTGGCGTCTGATGGGTAGAATACAGGATACTAGGCTATCCTGTGGGACAGGTAGCAAAGAATCAGATCTAAGTAATGTCAAAGTGAGGAAGCCCATCTTGGACCTATCAGGTTAAACCTTGGGCTGGGTCTGTGTCCAGGCAGAATGCACTTAGCCGGTGAGCCTCAGTCCCTGCCAGCCAGGCTCTCAGGGCGACCAGTTCATACCAATTCATATCCCTCAGGAGAAGCGCTGGCTTTGCTGCCACAGCAAGCTTTATTGGAAAATTTCAACTTGACAGAATTGCAAGGGACTTCTCAGGCAGTCTTCTGTCTCCGGAGGTGCTTTGACAACCTACCTTGGCTGAGAACCCAGGCCCAGGATGGGGCAGGTTTGGTACACTAACCGTGGAGAAAGGGCACCCTCCGGTGCTGAGGTCGAGCTTTGCAAGGTCACAGGACTGCTTGACGGATGACCTTGGGGAGTTGCTCAACCTTTTGCTGGCACTGGATGAGATGAAATCTGGGAAGCACTAGGCAGTGAGCACTACATGAGTCACATAGGAAGGGGGACCAGTGACAGACATTGTGGAGATGACCCAGAAGGGCTTAGTGACCTAGCAGGGGTGAGGGAATATAACCCAGAAGTCAAGGCCAAGCCAAGGATCTGTTCTGCCCGAGGCCCTCGTACACCCAGCGGTAGGGTCCATAAATGCCTCTGAATGAGAAGACTGAGAAAACAATGGCTGGACTTTAAGGTCCCCCACTTCCCGAAGGACACTGGGGATGGCCAGTGCTTAGGCCTAACTGTGCCCCTCTCTTGTAGACCCCATGATGGAGCTGGCAGGCCCCGACCCCTCTGAACTTGACAGCCAACAGGAGATGGAGGACTTCGAGGAAAACGCCTACACCTACACCAGTGTGGACAACAGCACCGAGGCCAGCGCCCTCACTGAGCAGGCCATGAAAGAAATGGCCTACTACAATGTGCTATAGCAGGCCCGCTGAGTGGGCGGGGAGGGCACAGGGTGAGACCCACATACTGAGGCCTGCACCTCTGCAGCCCAGAACCAAGCTACTGCCCGCTGCCCGCCCCCCTCCCTTCCCCCAGTCATTTGCACCACTAGGGACCTTTAGACCAAATGGAGACTGTACTACTGTCCTTGCAGGGAGCTGGGCGTAGACCTAGGCATCCCGGTGAGGGAAAGGTAACCAGGAGGCCCAGCTCTGGTTCTCCTTGGCCTGCTGCTGTGGGTGGGTAGGGGAAATGCTAGTGAGGTCTCTTACAGGCACGGGGGCACAGACTTAGACGTCTTCTCCAAGCTGACTCTGGCCTTTAAGGACATCTGAGCTCCTGCACTGGTCAGCACTGCCCACCCCAATCCTGCTCAGACCCAAGAACCTCTTCCCTTCCCGTCACTCAACAGCCAGGCAGGGCATTCTGCCTTCTACCTCCTGGGCCTCCCCTTGCTCCATCCAGACATGCATGCGGCCCTAGCCCTGGCCCTGCCTGTAGGAGAGCCGGGGAGCCCAGCCTCCAGAGCCCCCTCCCAGCCAGCCGGCAGAGCGCCCTTGTCCTCAGCCCTGTTGGGAAGACCATCCCCAGTGTGCATTTCAGTGAACTTCATCCAGTTCTGTCCCAAGCTAAGGCACCAACCAGCGTCCTCACCAAACAAAATCAGGACATGTCTTGTGTCTGGCACACATTAACAAGGACCCGTTGAACCAAGGGGAAGGGCAGGGTGACATCCCTGGGACCAAGAGGAGGACTAGAATGGTTTTTGTTTTTGTTTTTAGGAGCAAGCAGGTGTTGTAAGGAATGGGTGAGTTGAGGCTCAGCAGGCTCCCAGGGAAGGGCATATTTAAAAAGGAAAACCATAGACAGGGGGAGGGGAGGATTCAGTTTTGGGCAAGTGAGGATATTTTAAAAGTAATTTTCCAACTCTCTCATCTGTCACCTTTGATGGAGCAATGGAGAGGCAAGCTGAACCTTTCCTGTGTACTGTACACTCCCTGATTCCCTAAAGCAGCCAGGCATGGTGTACTTGGGCCCAGGAGGAACCCATGATCTGTGACCCGTGCCCTGGCCCCAGGCTGGGAGGGAGGGCTCAGAAGGCTAAGGCAGGAGGGAAGGAGTCAGAGAGCCTCCCAGGCCCTCTCCAGCTGTGGCTCTGCCATCCAGGGAACCAAGGTCTCTGACTCCATGCAGCCAGCTGCCCCCTCTCACCTGCCTACTCTCCTCCCCTCTACCCTTCAGGTAGTGACGAACACATTCAGAAACTCCATAGCACCCTAACCCTGCCCATAAATCCCAAGGCCCCTCAGGGGAGGAGCAGGCAAGGGCCAACCCCGAAAAGGCACAGATGAAGCCACCAGCTTTGGCTGAAAAACCAAGACGGGGGATCCAGCTGGGGTGGAAGGTGCTGATCTGAAGTGCAACTGCCCCCAAGCCTGTGTCCCTTAGTGAGACACCAAGCCAGGCCTCAGGGTAACTGTTCCAAACCGGGGGCGAGGTGGACACACTGGCCCACGTGTGGTTTCCCAAGGCCCCCAGCCTCCCAGGTGCCCACCATGATGACCCTCAGGTGGCAGTGATTCGGTATCACTGTACAAGACATTTCTCCTGCTAAGCAGAAGGCGCCACCCCTGCAAACTACCTCTTCCCACAATGACTTTCTCCCCTGGTACCAAAAAGCACCCTGTACCTCCTCCTGCCAATGCAGTGGCCTTGGTCTTGGAAACAGAAGGGAGAAGTCTGACCTGGGTGGGGTCTCTCATTGCCTCCCAGTCCGCCATTGGCACAACCCTCTGAGGGGTACCATGCTCAGAAAACCCCCGGCCCTACGCCTTGTGCCTGGGCAATGCAGAGAGGAAGGTACAACACAGTGCACAGTTGGAGCTGGGGGCGGTCCTGGCAAGGCTCCGGCCTCACCTCTCCCAGCCTTCTGGAAAGGGTAGCTCAAGCCCTGGTCGGATTCCTCTCTAACTTATTGACGTGTACACAAACCAACTGTTTAGACTCCACTTGTGCAGAGCCCTACTGTGTTTTTATGTTCCTGTTTAAAAGAGAAGTTTACTTAGCAATAATTATAAATAAATGGATATTCTTTAGCGAGGTGACTGTACATGCTTCTTCCCGCTGCTTCTCCCCTTGAAGGTCCCAACAAGGCTCCCCAGGCACATACCAGACAGCCTCCCTCTCTGGAAGGGCAAGACTGTCCCAGCCACCAGACTTGCCATACACTTGGGGGACACGCACCAAGCCCCAACCCAAGGGTGGGATTTTATTTGAGACAAGGTACCCCAGATCTACCCATGGAGAGCTGTGATTACAGATGTGTACCCCCACACCCGGCTTCTTTTCCACTTCTATTGTTACAGTATTGAGAGGCTTTGAAACAGGGTCTCATCTAGGCTGGCCTAGAATGCACCTGTCTTCCTGCCTCAGTTTCCCAAACGAAGATTATAAGTATGTGTGCACACTCTGACCTGTTCAGAGTTTTTGTTTTGCTTTTGATTTTTGAGACAGACTCTTCAAATTCATGGTGATCTTTCAACAAGTTCTGGGATTACAGGCATGCACTGACATAGCTGGGTTTGTGGGGTTTGATTCCCCCCAAATATCCCCACTCTGAGGTTGGTTGCATCTGCAAACATAAAACCTGTGGCTGGGGGCTGGAGAAATGATGGGTAATCAGTTAAGAGTACTTGCTGCTCTTCCAGAGGATCCAGGTTCAATTCCCACCACCCACATGGCAGCTCACAACTGTCTCTAACTCCAGTTCCAGGGGATCCAGTGTCCTCTTCTGACCTCAGTGCACTGTGTGCACATGGTACACAGACATGCATGCAAGGAAAAATGCCCATACACATAAAATAAAAGGGTTTTAAAGCCTGTGGCTAGGGCTGCGAATGAGGCTTGGCTGGTAGAGCTTCTGCCGGATCCCCAGCACAGCACAGAGTATTGTGGCATGACCCAGCATTCAAAAGGTGGAGGCTAAGAAGTTCAAGGTCATGTAAAAAATTTGAGGCTAGTCTAGGATGCATAAGACCAATTTAAAAAAAGGAAAAAAGGCAGTTGAGAATAACTTAGTAGTCTTTTGTTTTTGTTTTTGTTTTTCGAGACAGGGTTTCGCTGTAGCTTTGGGGCCTGTCCTGGAACTAGGTCTTGTAGACCAGGGTGGTCTCGAACTCACAGAGATCTACCTGCCTCTGTATCCCAAGTGCTGGAATTAAAGTGGTGCGCCACCACCACCTGGCTCAGCTTAGTGATCTTAGTAATAAAATGCTGGCCTAGCTAAACTCAATTTCCAGCACTGATTAAAAAAAACAGCTCTGGATACAGAGAACTAACTATATTACCAAAAAAGAAAAAGACAGAAATCACTGCATGAGGACATGCTTGCCATTGAGTGTGCATATGGCTTTGGAGCAGCTTTTCCCCCTTTTATAGTTGTGTCAAAGTAGTGAAGATGAACCTGAGGCTGAGAACAGGGGACCCCATATACACAGACCTCAGAAAGCCTGGGCAGCCATGCAAAGAAGGGCCTGGGAGTATAACAGCAAAAAAATGTAGGTCTTTAATCCCAGCCCTCGGGAAGCAGAGACAGGTAGACTGTTGGGAGTTCAAGACCAGCCTGAGCCATATAGTGAGTTCCAAACAAACCAGAGCTACACAGTGCGACCCTGTCTCAAACAGAAGACTAGGACTGGGGATGCAGCGAGGGGATGCTCGCTTAGTCTACACGGAGTCTCGGCCCCACAAGAGGTGCCTATGTTAATAAATATTTAGAATATCACAGTGATAATCCCTAGATGGAGAGAGCTAGCTAGAAGGAATCCTACTTGGGAATTCTGTGTGAATCTTTGCCCCTAGGCCCCAGCTGCCTCCTGCTTAGGGAGGAGACTGAGACACCACAGACAGTTTTGTAAAGAACACAGGGCCTTACCCCAAAAGTCTAGTAACTCGGGTGGTTTCTGTAGAATGCATGAGGCCCACAGGCTGCCTCGTTCCCTCTTCTGAAAGGCGGCCTCCTAGCTGACCTATTAACAGCCGGAGGCACCCCAACCCTGTCCCTGGGGCACCCTGCCAGCTGCTTCCCTCCCACTCAGGGACAAACACAGCAAGACAGTTTGGCGAAGAGCTTTTTAGTAGCTAAATATGGCACCATGTGATTCAGCGCAATATAAATTACAGTATGCAAAACACACTGACTGGCTGAGGTAAAAGCACACCGTTCCTGCCTCGTGTTCGCTGTGAGGGAAAAAAAAACGCTCACATACTTTAAAAAACATCTCCATCATAAAAAAAGAAAATGTCCCCTAGAAAGGCCACCAGAGAGAGGGGCCGTGAGGCTCACCCTCTACCATGTATGGAGCGCCCACTGCAGCTGGGCAGTGGCAGCCCCTACTGCTTGCCCAGAGCTCGGTCCAGGTTGCCCTTAATGGTGTCCAGGAAGTCCGTGGTGTTCAGGAAATGTTCATTCAGCTTCACACTGCCAAGAGAACATCGGGGGCGACTCAGGCCTCCTGAAGGCCGTCAGCCAAGCCCTTCCAAGGCCCATCAGACCTCAGGTATCAGAATGGCTCTCTCGTCAGCAGGCACAGGCTCAAATCTGCCAGGACCCCACTGCCAAAGGGCCACAGTGAATCTAGCAGAAACTTAAGAGTGACAAGCCACTGACATAGGTCTTACAAGAGACCTGGTCAGGGGATAGTTTGAGAGGAGATCGAAGAAATTGAGCAACTGCCAATGGGAACCAACTCGGGCCTGGTTTAGGGAGGCTTATCCTGCCCCAGACCCCAGGCAGCTATACTGACTCATGAGAGGGATCCTAAATAGGGTCCCCTGACTTCCTCCCACCTGCTCTGAGGTCTCAGACCCTGTATCCCAAAGCACACACTTGCTGAGGCCATGGATGCAGCCAGCCAGGTCCTTGGTCATGGCTCCACTCTCCACGGTCTCCACACACACCTTCTCCAGCGTCTGAGCGAACCTGCAGGGGGATGCGGCAGTGAGGCCCCAGACAGGCTGGGCGGAACCATGGGGCTGGACCAACTCAAGTTCTCCCCGGCGTGCTCACCTGATGAGATCCTGGTTCCCATCCAGCTTCCCTCGATGCTCTAGACCCCTTGTCCAGGCAAAGATGCTGGCGATAGGGTTGGTACTGGTAGGTCGGCCCTGGGGACAGGCCACGGGATCAACAGCTGAGTCCCAGATAGATCTAGCTATCCACCTTTAGATTGACAATCAGGTTCACCCTCCCAGCCATCAGGGCCAGCACGCACTGGACCTTGAGATGCACACTCTTACCTTCTGGTGCTCTCGGTAATGGCGGGTGACGGTCCCATGAGCAGCCTCAGCCTCGATTGTCTTCCCGTCAGGGCAGACGAGCACAGACGTCATCAGGCCGAGGGAGCCAAAGCCTAGGGGTGGGCAGATCTCTCCTCAGGACGTGCGGCAGCTCAGAACCCTTCCTTCATTTTAGATGGGAGCCTGCTCATCTTCTGACCCCAGCCCGCTGCAGCTGAGAGGACAATACGGCCCTCGCAGGCAGCTCTCACCAATGGGCTCATATAGGTCTGTGTGCTCCTGCCCCAGACCCCACAGCCCAGGGCTGTCACTGTCACAAAAGGCCACTTCCAGCCGAAATGAGCTGCCAGCAGCTGTTTTGCAACCATCACGGTTTCTGCCGCTGTTAGGACACTTTCAAACTTTGCAACGTATTTGCAAACGTCCCCTGATCCAGATTCCAGCTGGAATGCCTCCGTTGTCGAGGACTCCGGGCAATCAAAAAGCTCCCCCAGACCCACAAGGAATGGGAGGGCTCCAGGGAGGAAAAGGAGGCAACTTCCATACTCCCAGGATTCCACTCAGATTTTGTCTTTATGTTTATTTGTTTTGGGGACAGCACACATGTGCCAGTCTAGAGGGCAACTTGCAGGAGTCTGCCTTCTCCGCCATCTCAATTCCAGGGATCCAACTCAGGTTGTCAAGCTTGGTGGCAAGTACCTTTACCCACCGAGCCATCTCAAGAGCCCCTTTTCTGTCTTGTTTTATTTTGATACTGGTTTAGCCTGGAATTCACTCTGGAACCCAAGTTGGCCTCAGGTTCTCAGAAATCTGCCCACTTCGGCCTCCTGTGTGCTCTGACTACAAGTGTGGACCACTGACCGGGTGGTGGTGGTGCATTCCTTTAATCCCAGCACTCGGGAGGCAGAGGCAGGCGAATCTCTGTGAGTTCGAGGCCAGCCTGGTCTATAAGAGCTAGTTCCAGGTCATACTCCAAAGCTACAAAGAAACCCTAACTTGAAAAAACAAACAAAACCAAGTGCGGGCCCCTGCACTCAGCCTCCTGCACTCCCTTTTCTATCAGAACATCCTTGTAACACACCAGTCACAGGGACAGAGATGGGCAGAACCCCTAGAACCTCACAGAACAGCTTGTCTAGATTCAGGCTCACTGGAAAAACCTACCTCACACAATAAGGTAGAGGGAAGACAGCTCGGCTGGTAAAGGTTCTTGCCACCAAGCCTGAGGTCAACGTGAGGTCAAGCCCGAGGTCAGGCTTGATAGAACCCACATGGTGGAAGAACAGAACCGACTTCTGCAAGGTGTCCTCTGACCCCCACACGTGTGCTGCAGCATGTGCACACGCACAGGTAAATAGAGGCCTGGGACTGTCATTCACTGTGTCCTCGAACTCACAGAGATCCATTGCCTCTGTTTATCATGCCACCATGCCTGATCTCAGAAATGTAACGTAAAATACATATATATATATGTATATATATATATAATATATATATATTGAGACTGGAGAGGTGGCTCAACAGTTAAGACTACTTGACTGTTCTTCCAGAGGTCCTGAGTTTAATTCCCAACAACTACGTGGTGGTTCACAGCCATCTGTAATGGGATCAGAGTCCTTCTTCTGGTATGTATGAAGACAGAGTACTCATACATAAAATACATGAATAATAAATCTTTAAAAAGATATATCAGTCAGGCAGTGGTGGTGCACGCCTTTAATCCCAGCACTCAGGAGGCAGAGACAGGCGGATCTCTGTGAGTTTGAGGCCAGCCTGGTCTACAAGAGCTAGTTCCAGAACAAGCTCCAAAGCTACAGAGAAACTCTGTCTCGAAAAACCAAATATAGATAGATAGATAGATAGATAGATAGATAGATAGATAGATTAAAAAAAATAATAATAAGGGGGAAGTCAATAAAAGACAGCTACTATCAACTTCTGGCCTCCACAAGGGAACACACACATGGACACACACACGCACAAGCATACACACACACACACACACACACACACACACCCAGATGACTCTGAGGAGTCCACACCCATCCTCTTGGGTGAATCTTACTTTCTCCCCACTCTTTCACTTAACCCTGTACTTATAATCATATTGAAATCTTTTAATTAAAAACAAATCACTCCAGTCATGAAATAGCAACTGCTGCCCCCTCTGGGAGCAAGCCAGCCGTCCCAGCATACCTTGCGCTAAGATGTCAGACTGTACATCTCCGTCATAGTTCTTGCAAGCCCACACAAAGCCACCTGAAGACTTGAGCACCTGGGCCACCATGTCGTCGATGAGCCGATGCTCGTACCATATCTTATTCTTGTCAAAGTCAGTCTTATAGTGCCTGGAGGCAAAAGGGCTTGTTTTGGGGAGAGGACAGGAGGTCGGCAGCTTAAGGACCCCTCCCTGCACCTCAAAGCTAAAGCTGAACCAAGCGCACTTGGGAACGCAACCTCCCCAGGTAGAGTAGGGATGGCGCAGGGGAGCTGGGAGGCTGCGGTGCTCTCAGAAAGCGTCAGAGGCTGTTACTTGTCAAAGATCTCCTGGAAGATGTCCTTGAAACGCCCGTCATAGGCCTTCAGGATGGTGTTCTTGGTGCTCAAGTAGAGCGGCCACTTCTTCTGGAGAGAGTACTGGAAGCAGCTGTGCGCAAAGCCCGAAATGGACTGTGGGAAGAGCGGGCAGAGCATGGCCCCCAGCCCGAGGACTGCCAGGCTTGCCATGGTCCCAGGGCCAGGGCCAGCATCACCTCCGTAAGATTCCTCAACCCTTGCCACCATGGAGCGAGCGCCTGTTTTTTGGCTGGCCCATCTTCTCCCTCCAGACTTTTGGGAGCAGACCCCACCACCTTCACTTCGGACAGTTACCACAATTCTTCTTAAAAGTCGCTGCAGGCCTGGGTGGGGGCAGCCCCCGTTAAGCTGCCTATCCTGACTGCTAGATTTGACTAGGGGCTCCAATTTATCCAATTAGAGCCCTTCCTCCCTGCTCATTAGTGATTGGCTCAAAGGTGGTCATGTGACCCAATCCTGGCCCGCACAAAGAGGCGCTCTTTTCTGACCAAGTGTTCTCTTCCATCTCTTCCCGGCCAACAGAAGTAAAGAAAGCTACAAAATAGGCAGAGGTGGAGAGGAGCGGGCGAGGAGGCCCTGGCCAGCCTTACCTCGTCGGTATTGTACATGCCCATGCCCACGCCGCCGGCAGGGAAGTTGTACACCTCCCACTCCTTGGCCGCGCTGCCGTCCTTTGGGGTGAAGACCATCTTGAACGTGCCAGCTCGATCTACCACAAAGTCTGTGGCCTTGTACTGCAGAGGACAGGTAGTTCGAGCCAGGGCTTCCTTTGGGGAGCGTGAGTCAACAGACTTTGTCTCCAAGCCCGGCCTACCTGGTCGCCATGAGCATGCCTGCCTATGGTGATGGGCTTGGTCCAGCCAGGGACTAGGCGAGGGATGTTTTTGCAGATGATCGGCTCTCTGAAGACGGTTCCCCCAAGGATGTTCCGGATGGTTCCATTAGGGCTTTTCCACATTTTCTTCAGCTTGAACTCTGTAAGGATAGGATTAAGATAGTCCCACCAGAGAGCCATCAGAATGCACCCCAAGCCAAAACACAGCCAGACAGGGGGGTCCAGGTGTCATCCTGGAGAAGGTAGAAGAGTCTAGAGCAGGGCTTCTCAACCTGAGTCTCGACCCCTGTGGGATCACCTAAGACCATAGAAAACACAGATATTTACATTATGATTCCTAACAGTAGCAAAATTACAGTTATGAAGTAGCAATGAAAATAATTTTATGGTTGGGGTCACCACAGCATGAGGAACTGTATTAAAGGGTCACAGCATTGGGAAGGCTGAGAACCAGTGGTCTAGAATATAAACATGGCCTTGGGAGTCTACCAGTTTTGACTGTGAGGGTGGTAACGCCGCCTTAGCCTGAGCTGTGAAATGAAGTCCCTGATAAAATACCAAGCACGCTGGCTTGTCATTAAATAAATTGTCTGTAAAGTGCCTGGCCGCCATTTTACCAGATCCACGCGGAGGTTACTCATCGAAGGGAAAGGGCAGCTTCCCTCCACCCCGTCCTGCAGGAGACACTAAGATCTTGTCCATAAAAGAACGAGCTGTAAACCCTAGCACTAGGCTGGAAGTGCAGTCCAGCAACACGGTGCCCGCCTAGCATGCACAAGGGCCTGTGTTTTACTCATTTTTAAAAAATTTTTATCTTATTTATTTATTTATTTTTGGTTTTTCAAGACAGGGTTTCTCTGTAGCTTTGGGGCTGTCCTGGAACTAGCTCTTGTAGACCAGGCTGACCTCGAACTCACAGAGATCCTCCTGCCTCTGCCTCCTGAGTGCTAGGGTTAAAGTCGTGTGCCACCACTGCCTGGCATATATATATTCCAGGATTCAGGAGCATCAAGGAAAAGCTGAGGACTAAAATTCACTCCGATGTGTGATATGTGTGATAGGCAGGTGGTCTACAGACTGCTGATGTCTCTTGAGTTCCCCTTTGCTATTGTTTTGCAGTGCTGGGAATCGAACCCAGGGCCTTATGCATGCATGCCAGGGAATTTCTCCATCCCTGAGCTACACCTCCAGCTCTGAAGGCCATCTGGAATGCTTGTTCCTAGCTTCCTCACACTGCAGAAACGAGGGAGGAAAAGTCCTAAGCCATATTCTTCTGTTGTTGCTGTTGAAGCTTAAGGACAATTTTCGTGGCGTTTAAGAGAAAAATAACGAGACAGGCAAGCTGTGGATCTCAGCAGCTGCCAGAAGAAAGGAAGTAGAGAAAGGAAGAGAAAAGGTCACGCTGCGAGTAGTGGGGGGTGATCAAGCAGCCACATGGCGAAAGAGGGGGGAGCCTCAGAAGAACGAAAATGCTGAAAGCTCCAGGGAAAGCGATTTTAGCCACTAGCCAGCCCTGCAGCATCACCACACCCTCCCACAACTGCACCGACACCCTCCCCCAACTGCACCATAATGACCTCAAAGGCCCGGCAGGCCCTACCAGCAAGACTTAACTGACCTCTCAGCCCCCCATCACCTCAACCCAGACCCCAAGTGATGCAATCAGCCCCAGGGAAGCTCCGTCTTTCAGTGCCCTAAGGAATGACATAAGCAGCCGCTTCCATCTGTGTGTGATAGCCTGGGAGCTGCCAGCCTACTGGTCTCTGTGACCCCCACCACACCTCATACCTTCCACACGAGCCTCGTCGGGAGTGATCGTGGCACACTTGACAGCCACACTGTACTTCTGGGTGGCCAGCGCAGAGTCAATGGTGACCTGGTCATTGGTCTGGTCACGGTTTGGAAGCCCAAGGTCAAAGTACTTGAGCTGGACGTCCACGTGAGGCAGGATAAGCTAGGAAAGAGAGCCCAAGCCAAGTGTCAGGCTAGAAGACTGACTTGGGCAGGGTGCCAAGGCATGAGACATCACCTGGTCAGGTGAAGGATGAGGGAAATCTGGTAGGTAGGGTGCAGGAGGGAGTTAGGATCAGCCATTCGTCAGCGGGGCCGGAGATGGCAGGGAGCTAAGACTCTGAGGGGTAAGCCACACTGGGCTCCACAGAAGGGAGCCAGGAGTGTCTACTGCTATTCCAGAGACCCATCAAGTCAGGGAAATCCCAAGTCTATTCAGTGGGGTCCCCCTTCTCCTCCAAGTGATCTGTGATCTTAACATGGAAGGGACAGCTTCAGCCAGACATGGTGACATACACCTGAAATCCCAGCACTGGGAGGCTGAGGAAGAAAGATCATGAGTTTGGGGACAGCCTGGGCTACACAGTTAAGAAACTGTCTCTGGCTGGAGGAGTGGTTCAGCAATTAAAGAGTGTGTCCTGTTCCTGCAAACAGTTCAATTCCCAGAACCCACATCAGGGAACCACCTATAACTCCAGCACCGGGGAATCTGCCACCTCTGGCCACCGTGGGAACTGGCACTCATGTGTGCATACCCACACATAGGCATACACATTTACATATCATTAAAAACAAGTTTGTTTGTTGTTGTTTTGGTTTGCTTTTTGCGACAGAGTCTCGCTATATAATCCTGGCTGGCCAGGAACTCACAGACAGAGATCTGCCTGCCTATGCCTCCTGAGTGTTGGGATTAAAAGCTTGCACCACCACGCCCAGTGCATGTACAACTATTTTGCTTGCATATATGCCTATCCGCATGCCGCATGCATGCCTGGTGCCTATGAAGATCAGAAGAAGGTATTGGACCCCTTGGAACTGGAGTTATAAACATGGACAGTTGTGAGCTGCCTGTCGGGGCTGGGAATTGAACCTGGGTCTTCTGCAAGAACAACAAGTTCTTCCAACAGCTATGTTATCTCCCCAGCCCTGATAAATATATATATGTATATATAGTATATATACATATATATGTATATATACACACATATATGTATATATATATATAAAGGCTAACAGTCAGGTATGATAGCACATTACTTTGTAACTCCTGAATTGAAGGGTCTGAAGCAGAGGGTCACTGTGAGTTTGAGGTCAGCATGGGATATAGAGTGAGATTAATTAAAAATTAAATTAAATTAAATTAAAGGGGGTAGGGGAGCTGGCTCAGGGGTTAACAGCGCTTGTTTCTCTTGGAAAAAACCTGGGTTTAGCTCCCAGCACCCACATGACAACTCACAACCACCCATAACTCCAGTTCCAGGGAGCCTGACACCTTCTTCTGACCTTTGAGGGCATCAGGCACACATGTGGTACATACACATACATGAAGACAAAACATGTATACACACAAAATAAACCAATCTAAAATAACTTTATTAATTACAAAAAAAAAAAGCTGGAGTGATGGCTTAGTGTTAGGAACACTTGCTGCAAAATCATGAGGAACAATTTGGACCCCAGCACCCAAGGGCGTCTTATACATGCTTGTAAACCCAGATCTGGGGGAGAGATGGGGGACCACTGGGCTTGCTGGCTTCTGGCCTAGCAGAGAAAACACAAGCTCCTAATTCAGGGAGAGACTGCCTCAGTGAACAAGTGGAGAGTGGCTGAACACCAAACCGCTTTCTGACCTCTGTGCACACACACAAACTAATTTTTATTATCTTTACTGATTTATTGTGTGGGTATGTGCGGAGGCGCGCGTGTGCGCCATGGCGAGTGTGTAAAGAGCAAAAGACAACTTGCAATAATTTGTCCTTTTCTTTCTCCATGTGGGTCTCAGGGATTAAACCTTACATCATCAGGCTTGGGCCGGGTGGTGATGGCGCACGCCTTCACCCAGTACTCGGGAAGGCAGAGGCAGGCGGATCTCTGTGAGTTCAAGACCAGCCTGGTCTACAGAGCTAGTTCCGGGACAGCCAGGGCTGTTAGACAGTGAAACCCTGTCTCGACACACAAACAAGCAAAAACCCAAGCATCATCAGGCATGTCAACAAGCACCTTTACCCACTACCCACTGGACCACTTTGCCAGCCACCAATTAAGTTCTTTTTCTTTTAAATAAGAACAGACTTGGGACTGACAAGTGACTCAATGGGTAAAGGCACTTACTGCCAAGCCTGACAATTTGGGTCTGATCCCTGGGGCTCACACGGTGGGAGGGGATTGACAAGTTTCTGGCCTCCACGTGTGCGCCATGGCACCCTCTTGCACGCCAACAAACAAGTGTAATAAAACGCTTCCAAAAGAAAGAGGAACAGGATTTGAAAAGCTTGCACATTTCAGCACCAGCGAGAGGCCCAGACTGCACAGGACAGGCATTGGCTGATGACCAAGAACTAACAGCTTCAAATATTGTTAGCATGAGGAGGGCGGGGCAGAAAGTGAAAACAGAGGACCGCTGTCCACCAGGGAACCATGGGACTCGTGGGGACCTGATGCCTTGTGGCACTGACCATCTACTCGCCACCCACCGAGGGAAGGGTGGTACCTTCTCCTTGATAAACTGCCAGATGATACGGGTCATCTCATCGCCATCCATCTCCACCACGGGCTTCTCCACCTTGATCCTCTTGTCAGCATCTAGAAACGGGTACAGAGCACATCACCTCTGAAGACGTCAGTGGTCCAGCGACCGCTCCTCTCCTGCTTTCAAGACCTGCATTCCCACATGGAGGATGGTCATATAGAGCTAACCCATCACACCCAGTTTAAGAGGCTGGGGCCAGCCTGGCCACCCTGGCCAGCCAGATCCTCTTCCCTTGGAAGCTGAAGAGACTAACAGAGAACCACAGGTAGCTGGGACTACCTGGTCCAGATCAAGTCAGGGTTCTGGCCCACAAATCCTCAGGCTGGACAGACTCCCCACTTCTCCAAGTCTTGGCCCTTCACTACCCCCTGTGTGTCCTTCAAATATGATGCTCTCAAAGGCACTAAGCTAAACTGCTTTCTGCAAGCTGGGAACTCTCAAAAGCCTGAAGCCTAGAGAAACATGCACAGACCCACAGTGAGAACCCAGCATGAAGCCAGACAGTGGTGGTGCGTGCTTGGCACTCTGGAGGCAGAGGCAGGCAGATCTTATTTTGTGTTCAAGACCAGCCTGGTCTACAGAGTGAGTTCCAGGACAGCCAAGGCTACACAGAGAAACCCTGTCTTGAGAAAACAAGCCAACAAACAAAGAGACAGAGAGAGAAAGAGAGAGAGAGAGAGAGAGAGAGAGAGAGAGAGAGAGAGAGAGAGCCCCAGCATGTGGCGGACAGCAGTCCAAGCCTTCAACACAACCCCAAGGTTAACAACCCTAGAGCCATCTTGTTCAGTTGGTTGGTTGGTGTTTTGCAGACAGGGTCATGGGGAGTCAGGCTCTTGAACTCTCTGTATAGCCAAGATGATCTTGAATGTCTGATCTTCCTGCCTCTATCTCCTCAGGTCTGGGGTTATCTACCTGCACTACCACACTAGTTTGCTTGTTTGTTTTTTACATGCCATTTGGATATGTAGCCCAGGCTGGCCTGACATTCACTGTATAGCCAGTCTAGCCTCAAGCTCATGACCCTTCTGCCTTCACTCCCCAAACACTGAGGTTACAGGTGGATGCTATAATACTCATTGCTTCAGTTTTATTGATTTATTTTTTTAATAAAATTTTCTTTTCTTTAATGATTTTTGAATTATTTTTATGTGCATTGGTGTTTTGTCTGCACATATGTCTGTGTGAGGGTGTCAGATCCCTTGGAACTGGAGTTACAGACATTTGTGAGCTGCCATGTGGGTGCTGGGAATTGAACCTGGAAGAGCAGCCAGTGCTCTTAACCTCTGAGGATCTCTCCAGATCCTCATTGCTTCCATTTTAAATATGGGGAAACTGAGTCTCAGAGATGATCGGTTACATAGGAAGAGCATAACAAAGCCCAGAGGACTTGGACCTCCCTCTCTGAGAACACCTGAGAAGGGAGCTCAGCCTCTGAGTGAAGCTCAGGTAAGTTGGTCATTCTAGAGAAAGTCCCAAAACTCCAACAAGGGCGGCAAGATGATTCAGTGGATAAAGAAGATTGTTACCAAGACTGGCAACCTGAATTCGATCTCTAGAACCCAAATACTGCAAGAGAACCAACTTGTTCAAGTTGTTGCTCTCTGACCTACACACATACGCACACACAAAGAAATGTTAATTTTTTAAACATTTATTTGTTTATGTGTATACATGGGTATTTTTCCTGCATGTATGTATGTATGTATGTGTACCACATGCATGCAGTGTCTGAGAAAGTCAGAAAAGAGCATTAGATTACCCAGAACAGGAGTTATAGATGGCTGTGCATTGCCTTGTGGGTGCCGAGAGCCAAACCCGAATCCTCTGTATGAACGGAAAGGCTCCTAACTGCTGACCCATCTCTCCACCTCCTTTTTTAAAAAAATATTTATTTATTTACTTATTATGTATACAATATTCTGTTTGCAGACCAGAAGAGGGCACCAGACCTCATTACAGATGGTTGTGAGCCACCATGTGGTTGCCGGGAATTGAACTCAGGACCTTTGGAAGAGCAGGCAATGCTCTTAACCGCTGAGCCATCTCTCAAGCCCTCTCCACCTCCTTAAAAAGATTTTTTAAAGTTGGCCTGGGGCTGCAGTTCAGCTGATAGAATGCCTGCCTGGCATGTATGAAGCCTTGGGCTCAATCCCCAACATCCCATAAACTGGATGTGGTGACAATTGCCAGTAATCCCAGCACTCAAGAGGAGGTAAATTCAAGGTGAGTTCAACATCATCCTTAGCAGCATAGTAAGTTCAAGGCCAGCCTGGAATACCTGAAAGGTTGTCTAAAAAGAAGGAACTAAAGACAAGCCTCACCGACTTTAACCGTATCACTGCCTTACAAACGCACCCCCAGCCATGACTCACGACACCCTCGAATGTAACCCTCATACAACGTGAACAAAGCGGTTCACTTCCCAGAGACAGACAAACGGCTGGACAATAAAGAAAGAGAAAAACTTAGAGATTGTTTAGGGAGAAAAAGGAGATCTAAGGAGTGTGACTGCTGTCAGGCAAGAAAGAAACCAGGTCCCTGGCTCAATGGAGTCTGCCCTTGTGAGTCAGATGCCAAGAAGCCAAAAGAACAGACTTGAACTGGCCCTCTCCCTGGAAATAAAAGCAGATATGGCTGGCTCTGTTACCATACCCCAGATGCCTTCAACCCCAACTACAGAATTCTTTCACTTTGGTCTAAAGCTGAAGTGAGAAGGGTCTGAGACAGGCTGCTGGGCACAACTTGCTTAGCTTCTAGAAGCCTCTTCTGAGAGTTCATTTAAAGACAGATTGTCAGATTATTTTTAAACATCCAAAACTATGTCATAAGCCAGATCTAAGGATCTCAACTTCAGCATCAGATGACATAGCCCTATGCCAGCGTCGACGTGGGTGCCCCGCCCCTCAGCGTGTGTGTGTGTGTGTGTGTGTGTGTGTGTGTGTGTGTGTGTGTGTGGTGTGTCAAAGTCAGGATCACACCCTGGTGTACATGAGCATGTTTGCGGAATTAGAGAACACATAGCAACCCGGTGCTGAGTGAGCATCATAGACACTGCGATATTAAGATGTGAAGCTACACAGGGAGGGAGGAGGAGAGGACAGGTAACAGAGCAAGCAACACTGCTGTCAGACGCCAGGTTGCTGAGGCCTCCCAGAGGAGCTAGGGGCAGGGACCTGTTCCAAGCCAGCTAGGTAGGCCCCTTTGCTTTGTCCTAGAAACTGATGTCCCGTTCACCCCATCCCACCCAACCCCATACCTAAGACAACCCAGAGCCCTGCATATTTACCCCAAACACTGAACTACACCCCTGGGGTGGTTTGAATAAGAATGGTCCCCATAGGCTCATGTATTTGGATGCTTAGTCATCAGGAAGTGGCACTATTTGAAAAGGATTTGGAGGTGTGGCCTTGTTAAAGGAAATGAGCCACTAAGGGTGGGCTTTGAGGTTTCAAAAGCCCACATCAGGCCCAATCTGTCTTTCCCAGCCTACCGTCATGATGTAGCTGTTAGCTACTTCTGCACCTTGCCTGCCTGCCTGCCTGCCTGCCTGCTCCCTGCCACGATGATAATGGACTAAGCCACTGAAACTGTAAGCAAGCCCCTCTTGGTTTTTCTTTCTTTTTTTTTAAGTGTTCTAGAATTGTTTGTTTGTTTGTTTGTTTGTTTTTCAAGACAGGGTTTCCCTGTAGCCCTGGCTGCCCTCAAACTCAGAGATCCTCCTCCTGCCTCTGCTTTCCGCGTGATGAGATTAAAAGTGTGTGTCACCAACTAACTGCTGAGCCATTTCTCCAGCCCAACTTTATTTTTATGTTCACTGCCTGCATGAATGTCTATGTGAGAGTATTGAGTTTCCAGAACTGGACTTCTAGACAGCAGGGAGCTGCTATGTGGTTGCTGGGAATTGAACCAGGATCCTCTGGAAGAGCAGTCAGTGCTCTTAACCACTGAGCCATCTCTACAGAGCGAGTTCCAGGACAGGCCCCAAAGCTATAGAGAAAGCCTGTTTCAAAAAACAAAACAACAAAAGGTGTGTGCCACCGCCGCCTGGCTACTTTCCCCCCCTTATTTGGTGGTGCCAAGGATTGAACTCAAGGCTCCACACACGTTCTTAATCAGGCCCATCCAGTTAGTGGATTTTTGTTGTTGTTTGGTTTAGGTTTTGATCTGGGGAGACTGGGATCTTTTTTGGGGGGGTGGGAGATTGAGACAGGATTTCTCTGTGTAACAGTCCTGCTTGCCCTGGAATTTGCTTTGTAGACCAGGCTGGCCCCAACTCACTGAGATCTGCTTCCTGGTGTGGGAGAATTGTCTGTATTCTGTCAAACATATTTTAATAAAATGCTGATTGGCCAGGCAGGCAGTATAGGCGGGAAAGCCAGACAGGAAGTAGGGGTGGAGCAAAGAGACTGGGAGTATTCTGGGAAGCTCCCTCTGCCACTCCTGGGCAGACCACCGAAGAGGCAGCATGTAACTTGCCCAGCTGAGAAAGGTACGGAGCCATGTGGCTAACATAGATAATGATAATGGATTAATATAAGTTACAAGGACTAACAAGGAGCCTGATCTAATGGACCAATCAGTTTATAACCTTATGGAGATCTCTGTGTGACTGATTTTCTTTGGAACTTGCCGGTTGTGGGGTACCGGGTGGGACAGAAACCCCAACAAGCCGGCCCCTCATACTACAGCTTCCTGCCTCCCTCTGCCCCCCTAAGTGCTGGAATTAAAGGTGTGCGCCACCACTGCCCAGCAAGAGCAGGATCTTTAACTCTTTCTGTAACCCAAAATGGCCTCAAATGCAAAATCTTGTTGCCTCTCTCTCCTGCATATTGGGATTACAGCCATCAATACCACCATGGCTGGTTCAGGTAGTGGTATTTCTAAACTATCCATTGGTGATGAATGCTTTTAAAAATCAGGAGAGGGGCTAGGGAGATGGCTGGGCTGCTGTTAGAAAGGCCCCAGGTTTGACTGTCACCCACGTGATGGCTTACAACTCTCTGTACTCTAGTTCCAGGGGATCTGATGCCCTCTTCCGACTCCTTGAGCACCA